TTTATAGCTTGGGATGAGACATAAGGGCTAATATCAAATGTTTGCACTTGATGTGGACTGGGCTGGGATGTTTTCTCAATATTCAATTGCTCTTGTGTATAAATCTTTCTTATATACATATGAGTGTTCCTGGATTTGTTTCTCTAGTCAACCCAGACCAACACAGCACCCCTCAGACCAAGACGCTTACCTGTGTCTCCATTAGTTGACACCATCATTGGACCCCACATTGCCCCACATCATCTTACTCTTGTAGAGTCAGTAGTCATCATACAATTTACTCAGAGTTATATGCTGGATTCCTGGCCGAATCTACGAGATTTCAGTCCACTGGCCCATGTGCCCCAACCTCAGACGAAGTCTCTCACCTTCATGTTGCCACTGTGGAGGAATTCGAGAATGGATCCTGAGTTTACCTATGTCTGGACCTACCCACAGATGACCTGAAGATTAAGTCTGTTAGACCCTCTGGAAAGCACTGCAGTGTACCCTTAATTCTTGTTCAGAATTACTCTCAGCTCCTGGCCTCCTATTGTGAGTCTAATCCACCCTTTGAAATCCATAGGCACATGTCTAGGAAGCCCTGACATCTTAAGATTGAGTCTGTTAGACCCTCTGTAAAGCACTGCAGTGTAAAGCACTGCAGTGCACCTTCAATTCTTGTTCAGAATTACTATCAGCCCCTGGCCTCCTATTGGGAGTCTAATCCACCATTTGAAATCCATAGGCACATGTCTAGGAAGCCCTGACATGACAGTGACCATGTTCTCATCTTGGCAGCCTTGCATGGAGTCATTCATGCCCAAGAATACACAGCAGCCTAGATGTCCTTGACCCCATATGTTCTGAAATGTCATCCCACAGAGGCCTCCTACATGGGATGTCCTTGTAGGCATTTGCATGAGTCTAATTTTAGACTCTCATGAAAGTTGGACCTCCTGCACAACATTCATGCCCCCTGCCCACGATGTAGCTTCTTCTTCTCCCTCAGAGAGTGAGGAGAGAGGACAAGCAGGTGGGTTGTCAGAGATCTGGGTCTTCTTTTCACCATTCAGACTTAGACATCTTTGTATGTAATTTCCATTCTAAAACACTGACTCTCTAGAAGAAAGCAACTGAATCTGAAATTTTTTGAGCTTTTCTTCCTTTCAGGATACTATTTTCTAATTTAATGAGATCACAAAAGTAATATCTGTTAAACCCTAGCCTATGAACCGAAAGGACACTGGCCCTTACCTATCCAGAGGCTTTTGGAAGAAAGAACCTACTGCTACTCTCCTTTCAGCACTGTGGGCTCTACTTTCCCCAAAGAAGGGAAAATGCTGCCTCCTTGATATCTGTCCGCCAGGGAGCATTCACCCATGTTTCAGAAATATCCTGGATCTGATGTTAATAAAACTCCCAGTCAGTGGTTGATTTCCCGTGCACTGGAACAATCCTACAGGACCTATATCCCATTCCACCCTCCTGTACACTCAGATGGTCTCCACCCAC